CAGTCAGAACAAATGAATATTCATAAAATGACAATATAGTATTCCTCACGTTCAAATATCACACCAATTGAAAAACCAACCATATTATGATTAGGGTTAGGGATAATGGGTTCATTCTTTCTCTCTTAATCTTTAATAAATATGATTTTCAAAAAGAGGTTTTGATCTATTTTCCAAAGCATATAACAGTGTTTCTTAACTTCAGCAACTTTAAGATGTATGGACTTCAATGCCCAGAAATCCCCAGACAGCCATGCTGCTGCAACTGGCTGAGGACTTTTGGGAATTGAAGTCCACACAACTTAAAAATTGCTGAAGTTAAGAAACACTGTCATACATTATTGATTGAACCAATGAGTGCTTTTCAGTTCCTCATATGTGTCAACTTTTTAATTCCCTAATAGGCACTCACCAAAAGTAGTGAAGGCAGCATCTCAGGTCTTAAATAGCATGTGGCAATACAGAGATCTGAGAAGTCTATACAAAAAGGTAAGACTTATTTTGTCATGTTACCTATTAGTAAGCTACCATTTTTTGGGATAGGAACTTTAGAATGAAAATTAGTAATGAATCTAACATTTAAAATGCCCTGAAAATGTTACTGCCTCTTCCAGTCTGTCTCCCTAATTTCAGTCTGATACATGCGGGATAGAGCATGGGCACCCGGTCATATTTTATAGGCAGATGGGATAGTTTGATTAAAACATAGATTTTTTTTTGTGTAAAACTTGAAGCCCTGTCCTTAAGAAATTCAAAGACAAATTATAAAAAAGGCAAGTTAAGTTTAAATATATGGTGTAGTTATGATCATTGTCTTTTCAAAAAAAGAAAAAAGGAACAGTGAATTTTCACTGTGCATAGTAGTGCAAAAGAACATCTTACAAAAAGTCACACAGTTGGTATAACCCACAAACTGGCCAGAGGTGTGGGTGCTACTAAGGATCTTTCAGAAATGATCTTAAACATATCCTAAAAGGCATTCTAATTGGGATCTATGCTTTTTAAATGTAACTTCTAAACTATAACTTATGTGGATGGCAATAAACCAAAGTCATCCCTGTTCAGTACTTCATGAAAATGAATGACCCACAGCAATTTTAGGACCTACTCTCTGTTGTTTGTTCTAAATTGGGGCTCTATTTTAAAAATCTGAACCATTGGTAGATTTTTTCCCCTCCCATCCATTTTACTATGGGAAGCTGTAAAGGAAGCAATGAAGAACCATCTCCAATGCTTTGCTAATAGATTGTTTTTTAGAGCTTCGGGTTGGCTAAAAGAGGAATAAGTTATTTTTGATTGTTTTTAATTAATGTAAGTTATTCTAGAGTCTCCAATGTGTGTGAGATAAGTTTGCCCATCTCTAAAAAAATTCTACAGTATTGTATGATAACATTCAAAATCATTTTTCTTCTTTAATAGCATTTGTGTAATGTTGTTGCCAATAGATAAAAAGAAAATCTTTACTGAAAGATTGATCCTATGCTTGAAAGCAGCAATGATTTCACTCTTGTATTCCATTATGATATTTTTAAGTGTTCAATTATAACCTGAATATGGGATTATTCTGCAAATATATACTGTTTCAAAGGCACAAACTGGGGATTTCCTAAAAACAAAAAGATTTATATTAATTAATTTGGATTTAATTAATCAGTGCCACATTTGTCTCATATACACATCAGCACTGAAGAATAAGCTTGCTTCATTTCAACTATATTGGTGGATGATTTCACAAGAAAACATTGAACAATAAAATCCTAAATATTATTATAGATGGGAGAGCCACATTGGAGAATGGAGGGAGAAATAGCAAATGAAGATTCAATCTCTCTTTTAAAGCATATAGATCAGCCAAAGAAGCTTTATGTACAAAAAGAATCTCTAAATTATTTGAGTAGAAAATGGCAGTTGAGTTTCAGTGAAAATAAGTACAAAATTCTAACCTCATATGTTCATTCATAAGCTATCAGTTAGCTGTAATACCTCAGTGTAAAATCTTAGAGGACATAACTGGGTTGGATCAAGTAGTGCCCCTTTGCTGACAATAGAAATACATCTTTATACTCTAAAGGAAAAGTCAACATTAGCTGTTTTTAGATTTTAAGATAGCATATATCATAACATTATACATCTGCTATACAAATCGATACTTTGATACACCCTGTAAAATACTGGCCCTTCCTTTTTAAAAAAAAAAGATTAGTTAATAGTGTACAAAAAGAAAGGCACCCAAAGATTTGAAGCATTCTCACAAAGCTTTGTCTTTTTGATGCAGAATTATAGATTGTCAATAATATGGTAAAGAAATGAATAAACCGATTGGTTCTCCTTTATATAGCAAAAATAGAAAACAAAAATGGGCAAATATGTTTAGGCAAAATGTAAAATTGTAGCAATACATAATGTTTTGAATCCAATACTGCAAAAGTGGATGGCTACCAAAAGGTTTTAACTTGATTGATAGCTTTGATAGCTACACAGAAATTTCAAGTTTAGAAGTAGCACAGTTCTGATTATAAATGCTGGGAGTCAAAATGCAGAAGGCTGTCACCATCATGGCCTGGCTATGCACCACCCATGGTCATCTGATTGGCTGCTGTTTAAAGCAGAATACTGGGGAATATTGTTGTTGACTTGCTATGTAAATTTAAATAATGTTTTTATGTCTTGAATTGGCTTCTCAAAACGTCCCTCTCTCACACGCATACACACTGCATCAAATATGTGAGCAAACAACTGAGTGGGATTTGTTTTCATTATTTGCTCCTTTGTCTCTTGATCCTTAAAGTTCAATAAATAAAAAAGTAACTCTGCTCTCAAATGATATTCCTCTAAATGAGACTGAAGAAGGAAAATGTGCAAAAGTTGTGACAGGCATGTTCAGTTGTAAAGAAGACAAATACTGAGTTGGTCGAGGCAGACTGGTTCCTCAGCTTCTGTGGAAATAATTTCAATTGTAGGGTTGACTGGATATCATTTATTCATGACTGACATGTCATTACTTATTGTCATCTTTGACTAAGTTAGCAATATTTTAATAGTAAAAAGGGTTTAAAGCATTTGGGTTGAACTTTTCTCATTTCAACATTCACTTCATATTTGATATAGTTGAATACAATCCTAAAGAATATTTTGCAGGAACATTCATATTATTTTAATGGTGCTCAGGGACCTTCAGTTACCCTGACTGCTACTTCTGGTCACCATTGTCCTTTCATTTCCTTCCTTCCCCATTCCCTTCTTTTCACTATACATATTTCAACAGGCATAAAATGCTCCTCCCCCTTAAAAAGTGTGGTCTTATTTTGAATTATGTGCAATGAGCCGGCCTGTATGTTATCAAAGCTTTATATAACAAGGACTAAGTCCACATTCTCTAGAAGCACTAGCTGGGATACCTTCTTGGGACCAAGATGAAGAGATGGGTGTAGAAGCAACTTCAGACTGTGAAAAGTGATCCTTTAGAACAGGGGTGTCAAACTGCCGGCCCATGGGCCAGATGCGTCATGGTGAAAACATGCCCATCCCATTGCTGGCAATGGAAAAAAAGTCACGATACGTCGCGACATGTCACGTGACATTGCGAATTTGACACCCCTGCTTTAGAACAAATACAACCCTGTCCAGTTTAGTGTAGACATAAATATTAAGTTCAGTCTGATCACTCAAAAATGTCACCTTCCTTGCATTTGGACTGACCATAAGCTTGCTCACCATCTGTGACAGGGTAAGCAACTATGGGTACCTCATCAGTTTTAGATCCTTTTACTACATTCTATTAAATGAAGAGTATTTGTAATGCAAAGCGAAGTGTCAGCCTCTGACATAATTTAGAAAACCGTTGGGCCCTACATAGACCTCAGAAATTGAAAATATTGTTAGGTCACCTTTTCACGGTATGTCTGGTACTTAGCCCACCTGCTCAGGAAAAAGAAGTAAGTTGGGGTGATAGACAGTACCCTGGCAACTGGAGAGAGCAAGGATCAAACTTAATAGTTTGCTTTGTGTCACCCTAAACGTGATACATGTAAAGACAAGGTTCCTATCACCAATTATCAACCACCCAGAGTCACTGGGAATTGGCAGCATATAAATTTAAAAAATTATTATCATCAGATACTTTCCTTGTCAGAGTAATGCAATTTGCTGCCAAAATCTGAAGACCACAAGTTCTCCCCAAAGTACCTTCCCTGATTTAGTCCATCATTGACTCCGAACATTCATTCACAGCTACCATTATTTCATCTGTTTCTCCTGAAAAAAAAAAAAGCAATTGCCTAGTGCAAGAATCGTGCTTACTGAAGAAATGCATGGAGGGGAAAAAAAGAGCCGAATATAATTCTGTAGCATAAGGACAGCCACTGAATCATCACTATCCACTTGTATAAAGAGACTAATGTGCTATTATTAATTTTAAGGGTTTTGTTTAGCTTTGATATAGTCTTTGTTGAGAACAGTTTGCACTGCATTTTCTCTGCTTTAGAATCAGTCTGAATCAGTTATTATCAATGTAATCTATTTCTGATTATAATTTAAATGGTTACAGTTGTACAAAAATGTAGCCTAGTTCCCATATTTCTATATTTCTGTTTGAAAAAAAGAAATCTCACTGGAATAAATGATTGATTGACTGATTGATTGATTGATTGATTTATGGCAGCGGGTGGCCCCAGACTTCAGAGTGGCTGAGGACAGAGGATTTTCACCTACCCATCATTCTGAGTCATGGCACGCTCAGCATTCCCTCTCCCAGAACCAAGAAACCAGAATCTATTCCCAGACCCAGGTATTCTGGCTGTCAGCTGATGAGTCTTGATTTGTGATTTTTTTTTCTTTAATTCTTATTTATTCTAAAATTTATATGCCACCAACATGCCTTACTTAAATGTGTCACATTAAATATTGGCACATTTAAAACAATAAATGGAACTGAATGCATTCCTAGATTAGCACTGCAACAGCACTAAAACTTAAACATTAAATCAAAATAGTTACAGAAAGTAATGTGTAGAATGCATTTTAACTTGCAGCGTCAATGAAATCTTCACATCATTTGTATGAGCAGTGAATTATTTCACTGTGGAAGTGAAGTTAACATAATAACATAAAACAATGCAAAAGAGTGGTATGCTTAGTTTGGTCAGTCCCTATTTTCTATGTAATCCTTCTCCATTATATGATAGAACTGATATATTTCTACAATCAGACATTTGCTCAAAACTAGAGTGTTTTTAGTAGGGAAAAATCAAAACATAGCAATATTCTTTATTTTTATTTTTTTATTTGATAAATGGTATGGATACAAAATTTATTTGACTTTTCTCTTTTGAAGCATTCAGGGTCATATGAAAAGTAAAACAGAATTATAATCCTGCTAAGAAATATTGCTGTTGCATTGTACCACTTAGCATCCTGGTTTGAATGTTATATTGGTTTCTTTTTCACTTCCTGGCTATATGCTATTCTGATATTTTTTTACAGAGAATTGT